GGGGTGCATTGCAATTGAGTTGAGTCGGCTAGGTGGGGTCCGCGCCCTGCAATTTGTTGTTCGCGCGGGGCGTGACCGTGATTCGGCTGGCGTAATGCGTGCTACACGCCGCCGCCTTTGCTTCGGTGTCCTAAATTTGGTGCGCGCGGCGCGAGCACATACGGATCTTGTTTGCCGCGGCTGTAGTTTGCCGCCCGGCCGCGTGACCTGGGGTTGTGCACTGGGTGCCTGTTGAGCGCTCCGACATCCCCTGGCCCCCCCGCTTTTGCAACCCTGCACCAGCAAAATCAACCCAACGCACCCTCAGAACCTGCACACGCTGGCGAGCCAGCTTTCTACAGCCGCTGCTGGCGCCGCTGATCCCCGCCTCTCGCCCAACCTCACCCTGCGGCCGCCCAACCAGCGCTTCTTCCCCTCCCGGCCCCCCTCCCCTGTCCCCAGGCTGTGTTCAACTATGACTTTGACAGCCTGACCCACGACGACCCCGTCATCCAGGTGGGGGATTGTTGGGGCACCCTGAAACACGGCTGTCACATGAACGCACGCACGCACACGCGCGAGAGCACGCAGCGCACACACAAAACAAACGCATGCACATCCACATGCACACAACGTCTCTTTCCATCTCTCTCTGTCTTTGCACTAAGTATGTGTGTGACACCCTCACTCACACAACCCACTCACTCTCTCTCACACATCCACACACACATCCACACACACATCCACACACGCACACCCAATGCCCCCTGTTCCCCCCTGCCCAGGCGGTGTACACCGCCCTGCGTGAGGCCGAGTACCGCTCCACCGCCCCCATCGCGTACTGGAACCTGCCCCCCGCGCGGTGGCTGGTGCCGCGGCAGAGGCGCGTGCAGGAGGCGCTCAAGGTGGATGTGTGTGTGTTTGGGGGGGGGGGGTGCGCGCGTGGATGCGTGCGTGCGCAACGCGCCCCTCATGCATCTATACCTGCTGCTTGTCAGGGACCTGCGGGCGCGTGCCGGACTCAGGCCGGGTCAGGGGAATGCGCACCCGCTTGCTCCGGGCCAGGCGAAAAAGGCGCGTGGGCCGGGGCTGTTCAGCGTCGCGTGAGCCATTTGTATGCACCATGCCTGCCCCCAAACCTCCCACCATCCACTCATCTTAAAAACCTCAACTATTCCCTCCAGATCGTGAACGCCACCCTGGACTCCCTCATAGCCAAGGCCAAGGCCCTGGTGGATGAGGAAGACAAGGACTGGGAGGAGGAGTTCATGAGCGAGGTGGGGGGAGAGAGAGAGAGAGAGAGTGTGTGTGTGTGTGTGTGTGTGTGTGTGTGTGTGTGTGCATGTGCGTGTGCATGTGTGTGTGCATGTGCGTGTGTGTGTGTGTGTGTGTGTGTGTGTGTGCGTGCGTGCGTGCGTGTGTGTGTGTGTGTGCGCGCGCGCGCGCACGTGTGATGCCTTTCCAAGGCGTGCGTTTCCAGGGGCGCGTATGTGAGGCGATTGCAAGCGGTCTGCACCTGCAAATGTTTTTTGGTGGTGGTCGGGATCAACCGTTTTTGATTCACCACCCTTTTCCACACTCCTGCCAAAACCCCATTTCGCTGCTTACCGTATTCTAAGCCGCTAAATCTTGCTGCCTCACCCCACCCCAACCTCTCAACAGCGGGACCCCTCCATCCTGCACTTCCTGGTGGCCAGTGGCGATGACATCACCTCCAAGCAGCTGCGCGACGACCTCATGGTGTGGCCCCTGGCACCAGAGGGTCAAACCACGGTCATACCCGGCCAAACGTAGCCTGTATGCAGCCAGTTCACACCGGTCGGCACATAGCTCTGACCCCTTAGTGAATGCAGCTGTGTGCTCCGCCGCCTTGGACGCCCCGGTTTTGGACCCTCCATCCCCCTTGTGCAGCTCAAGTCTACATCATTCGCCCACCTCCACTGCTCTCCCAGCTCCTCGCCTCATCTCTCCTTGATTAAACAACCTCATTTCCCCCCATCTTGCACCTCACTCGCAACCCCCTCAAACCTTCTCCCCAAGACCCTGCTCATCGCGGGCCACGAGACGACCGCGGCCGTGCTGACCTGGACGCTGCACCTCCTGGCTGACCGCCCCGACGTGGTCGACCGCATCCGCCAGGAGGTGGGGGGCCACGCACAAAAAGATTGAATCAGTTCGAGGGTGGTGGTGCACAGTAGAGAAGGCCAGGAGATTGCATGTACCGTATGTATCTACACGCCTGCATCAAAGCAAGCATTGGTGTATGCCTGGGGCACCTGGGCGTTTTGAGTGCAGCAGTCCTTGGTGCGGCCGCCTTCTGCACTCTCAATCTTGAAATTTGCCTTTGCGTTGCCCACACGCGGCGCGCGGCTCCCGCCAGGTGGACGCTGTCATCGGGGACGGCGCGCCCACTGTGGAGCAGCTCATGCAGCTGCGCTACACCACGCGCGTTATTAACGAGGGCATGCGCCTCTACCCGCAGCCGCCCGTCCTCATCCGCCGCGCGCTGGAGGTGGGCGCCTCTGATTTTGGCTGCTGCTGCTGCGGCTGGCGCTGCCGCTGCTGCTGCTGCTGCTCCTGCTGGCGCTGCCGCCGCTGCTGCTGCTGCTGCTGCTGCTGCTGCTGCTGCTGCTGCTGCTGCTGCTGCTGCTGCTGCTGCTGCCGCTGCTGCTGGCGCTGGCGCTGGCGCTGGCGCTGGCGCTGCTGCTGCTGCTGGCGCTGCTGCTGCTGCTGCTGCTGCTGCTGCTGCTGCTGCTGCTGCTGCTGCTGCTGCTGCTGCCGCTGCCGCTGCCGCTGCTGCTGCTGCTG